ATTTTCGCCTTGAGCTCAAATCCCATACCCAATTTCGCCCTCATATCCTCATGTTCTTCTATCTCTTCTTCTATCCACTTATTCTTGCTTGATTTGCTTTCCCACATTTTGAATAAGCACTTCCTCTTCTTCTTCCTATTTCTTTTCTCAAGTTTTCTTTTAAACTTATTTGCTCAGCATCTCCTATGCATTCGTCTTAATCATGAATGAGCTCTCATTCCTTTTCCTAAGTACTCTTGATGCATCCATGTCTTCGCTTTTCCCCGTGCCGTACACGTGAACCCCTGCTGTACGCCGACGTTTCAAGAAAGTACACTCCTTAAGCCAACAGAAAAAAATTTCTCGAAAGATCAAGGTACATCTAGTGAACCGGTCTTTTCCGCTTAACTCACTAGGGGAATGCCTTCAAACTACAGTGGATTTTCGAATAAAACCCCAGATAGAAGGTTTTTCCAAAGCAAATTTTCAGCACTGAAAATTTGTTCAAAATGCATGCGAGTAGGGCGATCCGCCCCCGCAAATGTCTCTCCGTGGCTTAATGGGCCCTCTCTTTGCACGCGATAGCTTTTGGGTTCGCCCCTCGAGGCAGAACTTACTGCCTTATCTCCAATGAAACTTCTGTTGCCATTTTCAGCGTTTTTCCAAATAAGGCGCAGTTCAGGGAAGGGAGGGGAGACAGGGAAGGAGGAGTTTTGCCGCTTCCCATCAATCGCTGCCGCTGCCTCCTGTAGGAGCAGTGAATCCCTATAAAGCTGTGCAAACGCTTGACCATTCTTTACAACAGGCAAGCGCCTACAGGGTCTTACCAAGGTGAACCGTATAATTTAACAAGAACTTTAAAATAATAGGCGAAAGTACGAAGTGCTTGTCCCCTAAGCCGAACGGTGCCTTATTAATTGAGGGCGCATTTCAAACATTCGGGATGGGCACAGCAATAAAGTTTGGCGGAACTTATCCTTTACGACCTTTTCACATCAAGGAATAGGTTCAAATGTCGATCTAAACAGAAACTTTTTCAAGAGGGTACTTTGACCTTTCGAACACGTATGACACATCCGCGGAACCCGCTGCGGCAAGAGCAACAGGCATTGAAACAAATAAATCGCAGAGTTACCCGATTCCCAGAGGTTTGATTAGCAGAAAAAGCCGGCGCTACAGCTGCTAGCGCAGGTGCTTTCCCAATTGGCGCCAAGAACTGTACAAGAAGCATTGAGCGCCCTTGTGCCAAATGAATGCGATAGTCGTGTTGGAGCTTTTGATAAAATCAAAATTCGCAGCGCGCTGCGTTTCGACTCCATCTCCCAAAGTCAACACGTAATGCAATACCGCGACCGGGAAGTAACGCTCCGCATCCCAGTTTGCCCAATCATTCCAATCGGCATTCCAGAGTATCAGCCTATCTAGGCCTTCACTCGAGCTTCTGGGTGAGTTGAAGCATTATCAGTAATCGAAGAATTGTGTGTGATCATAGTTCAACTCACATAGTTTGTCCTCTCCAAAAACCCAAGAAAACAGCTATAACGCGGCTAAACTTCCAGAATTACCTTCATGTCGTATGTCACTTTAGTGTTGCCCCAAAGTTGTGGTGGCGGTCCAGCAGGACCGGGTGCTCCAGGCATGGATGGAGGTGGTTGTTGGGTGACCGCTGAAACATGACCCAACAATAAGACGCTCTTACTCCTAACTGAAAAACTAACTATAAAAATCTTCAAAATGACTACTTTCAAGAATCAATAACTGACTTGTACCCAATGCAGCAGCCGCTCCTCCCATTACAACATTCACCATTTCTTTGAAGACATTTTCAGCATTTAAATCACCTACAATCAACGATTATTTCACTGCTTTCCGTGACCAGAACAGTCGAACAAAACCTTACCTGGTCCATGAGCTACTTGTCCAGGTACTTGGGTAACATGCTGGGGGACAAATTGCTGTTGCTGCTGCTGAACAACAACTTGAGCAGCCAGTTGTGCAGCTTTTTGCTGGGCCTGCAAAATGGTGCATGAAATCGTGGCAACTTCGTAGATGCGTAAGAAGGAAAGATACCTTGCTTTACAAAGCCCACGGCGACGGTATGGGAAGAATCAGGCCTATGATTGTTCTAATCTCAACGGTGCATTCTCTTATAAGACAATGAAAAAGAGGGGCAGCAAAGAGGAGAGCTCATTTTCGGACCTAGCTCCTCCCAAACGAACGGCATGGACTTGAGGTAGGGGCGAGGGGGCCCGTCCTTCTGTCTGGGGACTTTCAATAAAATCCCCGAATAGTCAGAAATACCTGGATTCGATGTTGCTCCTTCTCCAATGCAGCTTGATGATGGGCTATATAAGCTTGTTGAGACTGTGCATATGCCACCGCTGCTTCTGCTAAACATAAATAAGAATACTATAACAAAGGTCCACTGTTTCGCTTTGATCAAATTTAAAACTTCACTACGATACAGCCCTTCTGGAATCTTTTGAAAAAGTTTAAAACGAAGAAAAGCTCACAGGAAGCTAGAGGCTTCTGGTTATGTATGTACGGTACTGTGTGACAAGAGGGAAAAAGGATTTATGACGCTATCCCGCTAAGGTGTACAGAGAACGACCACGACTGCGGGGTTGGTGATAGGGCGCTAGTCTCCACTACTGGACGCTGGTAAACGCCTGCGTTCGCTAAGTCGATAGCTATACTTCCCAACTCCTCGAGACGTTCGCTAGATCGATATCTATACCTTCTTCATCGCTAGCGTACGCTCAGAACGTAGGTGAACACTGACGTCAAATCCGAATGCAACCTTAGGAGCGCAGATCTGGAACCAATACCGGCCTTCTGCTGCTCGTATTCAGCGTTTCAAGTACTTTTGTCAGACCCTTATCCTCACTCCTACTAATACTCATTCCTCAATTCACTCTTATTTCTATGCGGCACCTTTGAAGTATCTGCCCTTCTTGTCCCTCTCATTCGTCGTTCTACGACGTCTCCCTTACTCTTCCGCTCCTCTTGAATACCTTCCTTTTCTATCCTGGTACTTCTAGATCTTTTTTTCTCGTCCCAGCCTTTATTCTTTGTTTCGAACGCCTATGCAGATCAAGAAACGCCCGAAATTGTGCGCTTTCTTCGCCCAACCACCCACTTTCCTTGCTCGCCTTTGACCTTCTATATAGCTTTGCAGAGCTCGTAATAACTGAAGCACCTATTAACACCGGGTGATTTTACCGCAGCCAAAAAGCGAGGAACTGCGTCGATGTTATATCTTCTCAAGCTTCCATATTTTTCGCAGAGCCCTGTTCCCAAGCGCCGGCGAGACGCGGGTTTCAATTGCGATTCCCCGTACGCTAACCACTGTTTGTTCATCATTCCAAAGGGCACGATGACGCGTTGAATGCCATGATGAGTTATCATACACTTCCATCACCCCGTCGTTTATGAATATGAATTCGCTGCTGAAAATTTATTACAACAAACCGACTGCATCGACAAGCGGACAAAATATTCGTTCGATCAGGGACAGGGCCTATTTTACTACTACGTACTTGGCGCGTCATTTACAGTCCAACTCGCTGCGGAAGATGTGTCATGACGGAGAAATTTGGCGCGGCGCCTAACCCGTTTCCTACCAATTGTTGAAGGAAGCAAGAGAGGAGAGTTATATCACATCGTTCATATCAGTCATCTTCAAGCGACTGCTATTCCTCAAACGTTTCAAGAGCTGGTGAGCGGGAGGAGCGGCAAACTCTGTTCCGCTGACACGCCCCATTATACGCGCGAAAAAAGACTGTATGAGAATGGAAAAAATAAACGAATATGAGACTATTTTGACACTATAAAAATTTGTTCACCTTCCTTGGCTTCCAGTATTCTCTTGGCCTTTTCCTCTTCTTCCTTCTGAGCTCGCAATTCGTTCGCCTCTCGTTCCGCCTGAAAATTCCGAACGTCATTAAGTGTGATAATCCTAACCTTGGACGATAACGCAAGAAATAATGGGGCTGGGCCAGCTGAACTTAGGAGGGCCAGAGTTTGTAAAAAATGAGAAGTCTAAGCTCCGGAACTCAGTGCTTTGATGAGGCATATCCTTGGAAAAGTCAGGCGATTGAATAATTAAGGTAGCGGTATCCACCTATGAACTTGAACACGGCAAGCAACCCTCCACTGAGAATTAGGGCAAAAACCACCGACATCGCCAGATAAGGACCCTCCCTCGGCAGTTGAGTAGTCTTATAGGAGGATTTTCCTGAACTCGCTACCAAATGCATACATTGCTGCCCATTGCACTCCTTGGCTTACAAATCAATTTTTCGCATCACCCAGTATCAAATGCCATTCAACACCAACGGAAACGAACGAGCGGGAAAAAAGTATAGGGAAAACGAGCACGGAAAACTTGTATGAGAGAATAGTTTTCCAGAGCCCCTTGCAAAATTGAGGTTACAGTGACGAACTAATGCACCAGTACATTGCATCATTGGTCAGTTCAAAGGTAGAAGGT